TTTATAAATGTCTTATTCATTTTTTTTTTGGTTTATTTATTAATGAAAAATAACAGCTTTTTTTTTGTTAATAATAATGTATGATTAATGACTCCTATTTGTTATGGTTATTGTTCTAAAAAAAATATAAAAGGTGGGTTTCAGTCACCATCGTTACGAATAAATCAGAAAATAAGCCGGAGGTATTCATCTAGTAGGTGTGTGCAGTTTTGCCAATTTTACTTTTATAAAAATACGTTTTTTCGTAATGTACATCATAAAGAATTTTTTTATTTTTTGTGGGACTCCCGAAAACCCCGTATATAACGTACTGAAGAGACGAGTTAATCCGCCATTCTCCAGACACCCGGTGTAACGATTTTGATGACAGTCATATATATTACTATGATTGAAGTTTACCTTGTGTCTTGTGGTTGTATCTGGACATTTGTTTTTTTTTTTGTACTTTTCTTTATATTAAATATAGGATGTTAATAATTAATTTACATCTAGAGGGCTATGAAAATCATTTTGGTGCCGCTTCATTTGACTTTCTGCTAAATTAATTAATGTGTCAATTAGTTGTCAAACTTTGAAGCAAATTTGAATATTTTTTTCTTTAATTCACAAAACATTCGGAAAAATGTGGACCCAGGAAGAAAATAATTTAATCATTTATTGATAATACTTTATTATCGAAGCCTATTTTCGGCCAAGAGATTAAGTGTCGTCAAAAAAACCGTATTTTTTGAAAGCGGCGAAGTTTTTTGACAAGTCGTGTTCACGGTCTTCTAGATGTAAATCATTTAGTAAGATTGTGTATTTGTCTTATGTTCGAAAAATATCTACATCTTAAAAACTTATACCTAGAGTCTTTGCTATTAATGTCTGTGATTTTTTTTGTTAGGTTGACAACATATTTAACATTTTACGATGGCATAACTTACTGATGTAAAATTGAAATTTTGGGCACCATTTCAGTGGCTGCCAATCTTCCCATTGGTTTTTAGACACGCTCATATCAACATTGAAAGTTTTGATGACATGCTAATATTGCGGCTGATAATTTCGAATTACCAACTCAAAAATTTTCTTTAGTCATTAGTAACTAGTCACCCAGTATTTACAATGAAGTTCAATGGATAACCGTATCTAATACTGTATTTGTGGACAAATTCCTGTTTTATTGCTTATTTTCTTGAATTAACTTTTTGCGTCTTCTTATATTTCACTGCTAATTTCATGACAAAAAGTTCCCTGTAGTATTTTCCATATTTGTATAGGTACTTTTTTCCACAGTATTTGGCTGCCTTACATGGTGGCTTTAAATTTGTAAAATAGGCTTTCCGACGTCCACTTCTTCTCATGATCTTGTTATTTAAGCCAAAACTGTAAAAATATATAGGGGTATGTATGTACTATCCATAATTCATCATCTTGTGTGAAGTTTGAAATGTATTCCTACATGTCTTGCAGTTTTGTTTCTATTATTATCAATAGAACAGCAATTTCACATCGTGTTATCTCAATACAATTTTTTTTATTTTTTCTTGTTCTCCATTTGTAGATAAATATTGGTTTATTCAGTGTTATATTTACAGATTATCGCCTTGAATAAAAAAAGTGTCCCCTTCAGATCAAAACTACCTATTATAACTACTAACTTACTTCGTTTTTTAGCACAAATTTGACATCACCCTTTTCCTCTGTTTGTCTGCACATCGTTCTTATTATCAATATATGTTGTAGTTTTATCAAACATTTAGTTATTGTATATTGGCAGCATATAAATCAATGCATTGTTTATTATTTCCTCTCATGACATGGTAAACTTTGTTTTTCAGTTTTGTTACAACTTCAGTCACATCCCATTTTGTTATCTCTTACTGTTTTCACTTCCTTTGTGGAAAAGTAGGGATTACCTATTTTGGCTCTGGTGCCACTAAAATGGCCATAAAATAGTGTTATTACTTTCCGATTGTTGAAAAACCTTTATTTATAGGACACTACCTTTTTAATTTTAAGTCATTTGTTATGTTTCACAAATTCATTTCTCATCTGTATCAACTGGTTTTGTTCTATCTGCTACTTGAAAATATGTTTCGCACTGGAACGGAAGATATGAGAGTAAATTCCTTGCCTTCATTTCCTGTTCTTTTGTTTTTTACATTTTTAAGGAATATCTCATCTTCCTTGTTTATGGTTTTATAACAACTAGGTAAACTTCCTTCTTTCCTTACTCGATAGTATTAAAATTGCCCACTAGAATTAAATTCCACTTTTCTGCCCCTTTCACATGTTTGTCTAGTGTGTTCATTAAGACAATGTTTTCTTCATTGTTATACAGGGTATGTCATCGCATATACTGTTGGAATTCGAAACATTTGTACATTATTTAATAAAAAGTGTAATACTTTGTTCATCGTATCGTATATCATACATAATTTTTTTAATTAAATTGTTTCACACTTGATTCGCAGAACTCAAAAATAGTCTATGCAAAAACGTACATATAATTCTATTTTTTAACGGTCAAATTTGCAACATTTGCTTTTATGTACTCCCATACATTATGCTTAAGTGACAGTTGTGTAAGACTGACTGATGGATTGAATGAAACTATAACAACTGAGTTTATTACGTGAAAAATCATTATTTTCTAGTTTTAAACAATTAGTTTAATTAAAGAAATATTCTTAAAATATCGTTCAATGTTGCATTATAATTATTTTACCCATCTTAAAAGAGTTTTACATGATCAGTTACAGTAAGTTACTTACTGACATTCTTAAATCTCAAGTAGTATCTTTTGTTGAGTAATGTTTCTGAATCTTTCAAAATCATCTATGCCATTTACTTTATAGAATAGACAGTATTCAGTCGAACCTTCTGAACTTTTGAAAATTGTTCAAGCATTCCAAAAAAGTCTGCCTATGGATTTTTTTATTTACTTATCAGGCTAACGCAAATTAAATAATGCAAATTTATATTAAATATTACAATTATTATTACACTGAGCCATTAGTTCATTCCATGTGATCTACTGGTTCGTCGGCCACAGTTTTTCCTGCCAGATATTGCAAATTAATATTTTTTTAATATTTCTAGTGATCCCTGTTGTTTTACATATTTTTGCAATAAAATTTCATACATACTCCATCTTCATATTCTAGAAACAATTATTACTTTTTCAATAAACAAATACATTTTGGTTAAAGCTTTCATTGCATTCGTAAATATAGTTTTTATTCCTCAATTTCTTGTGCTTTTTACTGCTGCATATACTACAGTTGTCTCCACTTCACATCTACGCTTATTGCCGAAGTATAATAATAATCACTGTTTAATTACATTATAATAATTGGGTCTCTGCATTCTGATGGATAGATGCAGCCTCATTTCGTGACGATTGCAAAAAAGTAGGTGAAATAACTTACATAACTTTATGTCTAGAGATACTGTCTTCGTTATTTATTTCTAATTTGTTATTTTATACTTATTATATTTCACTGTTTGCGTTCGTTTAATTACTTTATCAAAAAAATGTTGTAAATTAACGTAATTATAAACACGAATGGATATGAATAATATACGCGAAATTTGTCGTCCTGTTGTTGTTAAACGGAATATTTTTTGATTGGTCGTAAAATATGTGACGATGATAAGAATTTGCCAGCAGGTAGCCAATCAGCACAAAGATAACTATGTTTTCATATTTACATGGAGATTTTTTAAATATTCATTGTGTATCTTGGAAAATAAATCTTCATAAAATTTTGTTAAGTAAGCAAATTGTTATTACATGCACAATAAAAGTTTAAAACGTATTTTATTTTATATCGTAATTTTAGGTTTATTATGCAATGAAATTTGACTTGTTTTAATGATACGGAATTTTTACTACAAAAAAAACTAAAATAACGCTAATTTAAAATTCAGATTTAGTACTGGAAAAATTAATCCAAAGACTGTTCACTGTGACAAAGTAATTGTTAATAGAGTAGGTATTACAAAACATCGTGGCAAGACGAATATAGTGAAATCCGATAAAATGGAATTAAAGGAAATACAACATTGTGAAGTATTCAGAGTAATGAATAATTTATTCAAGCTACCTAATTATATATAGAAGTTTTGGAAGTCAGTAACACAAGTGAACCCATTTTAAAGGAATTTAGCCTTTCCCCACGCATACGACGACGGTAAATAAAAATAAACGAACAAAGTACAATTCTAACATGCAAACTGCAATGTAAAGTTGATTACTACTGAAAGATAAGAAAGCAAAAAAACAATTCTAGTTAAAACATAAATCTTGCTAAAAAGGTAATAATTAAAATGCGAATATTTCCAGAATTTGATGATTGCGGGATTGCTGGAACTTGTTTTTAGAATAATTGCGAAAATAAACGGTGAATTGCAAAGAAAATATAAAATCTAAATCTAAAATTATATTGTAAGATGTTATGTATTCTGTACAACCGATGAGATCTGTTATCAATCTACTATTAATTATACCAGAAGGTAGTAGACTTAATACAAATAAGCAAAATAAAATATTTTTTACAATTAGTAACTCCAAAACAGTGAATAAATTATGGACTTCAAGATTAAGTGCACACGTTTTTACATTTGTATATGTGACAAGCTGTGAACACAAATAATAATAATAAATCTTGCAATTATTATAATATTGGTGAAAATTTGCCACTGAAAACTAAAAAGCTCCTTATTTATATTTGATTTTTTATAAAGCGATATCAATATCAATGACGACAGTGACAACGTGTGATCGTAAAGCAAACTTATATGGTTTAGAAATCATCAGCACTTATGCAGAAAGTGTTTCCAAAGTAATAACAACGATAGATATTTAAATTTAAATTGAGCACAACCACACTGTTTTCAATAGTAATATTAATAGAAAATTGCCTTTGGCCGCTTTGTCGTAATATTTTTTTTACTAATTTTTTTATAAATAAATAGTTCTAAATAAATTTAACATAATATGTTTTTTTCAGCGTTGGTGCAAAAGCGACTCCGAAGAGAGCGCAGAGCACGACGACGACTTCAAGATCAATTGGAGGCGGAAGTCAAAAGACGCATCCAAATGGAGGAGGCCCTCAAAGCAGCGGGGGCAGGCGAACAGCTTAGGATAATTAATGGTAAGTTGCAGAACGTGCTTTGCTGTGATTGATTGGTAAATTACGTTGATTTTTCGTATTTCCAATCGAAGCCGAGACGTGTAAATGTCTGTAAACCGTGTTCTCTCAAACCGGAGTCTGTCAATCACAATAGGGTTGAACTGGCGGGGGCATGTTTTCCTGCTACTGATGCCCTGCAGGGAACCAAACTTTGAGATTGATCTTCTAACAGATTACAAGATATTTGCCTTCCACGTATCGATTTATTAACGACTGCTGATGATTTTAATTATTTACTCGTTTTGTTTGCCCGCTGGAAGGCTGTATTTCTAGCTGATATTAGTCGGTTTTAAGTGAATCAGTCACCGTTCTTCTTTTTCTGTCGAAGATGGGTGATTTAAGACATAAAATTAAGGTGAACGGTATTATTATTCTCGCGACAAATGTACAATGTCCCTCTAAAATAAAGAATAGTTCTGCAAAAAGCAACTTTAATCAAGACCTTTTCGGTTTTACGAAAACATTGTTTGAGAAAAAACCATTCTTCATAATTAAATTTTAGATGGCTGTGATATTTGCGTGAGCTGATTTTTTCATTTCCTACTAAATATTAGGATTTTGACAATAGGTTAACAATTATGTCTGATTATTATTATCTGAGACATTTTAAATTTCATGTTTAAAATTTTTAAAAATATAAAACAAATTTGTTCGGTTTGAACCTATTGACAATTAAACCACAATTTCCAAATCTATTTTGTACGTTTAAGTACATTTTTTATATTTTTGTCATTTTACAATGTGAAAAAATACGCTTTCACGCAACCCATAACTTTTTCTTTTGCCAGAATTATAATAAGCTTAGCATGATCCCCTAGTCATTAGAAGCTTATAACCATGGGTTTTGTTCTAATTGATCTAAGCATTTTTCAATTTGGTCGTTCCTCGTATTGCTCTGTGTTCAGAGGAAAATCATCAAATTTTAGTATTTATTTGAAATTTCATCAGATAAATCAATTTATGCAACACATAATACGTTTATAGGCTTGCTTTCGTTTAAATGATTTACTTTATATTCGTGTTTCAACCTTTTCTTCAATAAAAATTTGGCATAATATGCCTGTGATGGATACGATCATGAAAGAATATTAACATTTATGATAATATTTTGATAGAAGTAAATCTATTGACATTCCCGTAGCAGATCAATAAATAAATGAGATTGACCATATGGTTGTCACTTGGTTTAGACTAGAATTTGTTGCATTCAAAATGCTTAGAAATATAACGTCATAAAACACATAACTAATACCACATGTCTTTACATTCTCCTTTATAATTTCTGGTATTTTCTCTTTTCTCCAATTTTATACCCTATTTTGCATTTTTAAAATACTAAAATTTCAAATTACTTCTAAATTAAATTAAAACTTTAAGCTACATACAATACAAATCACAATTTTTCTGCTCATACATTAATTAACTCACTAGTAACGATAAGTAAAATTTGACTTTTCACCTTCATACACTGTCAATATAATAAATACAACACCTACACTACTAATGGTTCGATTCTAACAAGCGCTAATAGACAGGAATTTTTTCAGTTTTTTAGGCGACCATATAGAAAAAAATTGGTTATGTAAGTGGTTGTGACATTAGAAAATCTTATTTCGTCGTTGGAGAAAAGTCCTACAGATTTGTTGAAAACCAAAGTGCTAACGATATTCAGTAAAGCTGGCGTTTAAAGCAGCTTTTGGCTTTTTTATATATAAAAAAAAAAATGTTGGTCAAAAACATAAAACCGAGGATGCTGCGAATGCAAGTTTTCGATATCTGTGTACAAAAAGTAACAAATCAGTCCAAAAAAGTAACTTTGACATTTCAGTATAAAAAAGTGACAGTCCATGGACGTGAATGGGGTCGGAAGACGACTAGATTTGTAATGATCATCTAATGGTATTGTTACGATGTACGAGTGATTAAAAATCGACGTGGGTAAAACTCAGCAATTTATTTCTCAATAACTCAAATTTACACGACTAATAACACAGCGATTATGCACAAAATAATTCCGGCGCAACTTCTCTGAATTTTCTCGACATTCCTCGCTGACTGAATCAGCTCAATAATAATCGTTCCCGAAGGTGGCCTCTATTTAAACCCATACTTCCTTCTAGATGTGCGGCGATCAGGGTCTTTCTGGAATACCAATCGCGAGTTCCGCTTCCAGGCTTTTCTGTAGCGAACGCCATCCAGTCGCGTCATCGACGATGAGCCATCATCACCGTACATACTAGAACCCATAGGCGTCGTACCGGGGAGGCGTATGGGTTTATTTCGTAACAGTATCATATTGGATAGCTAAGCACAATAAAATTTTGCAGTAATGCCGATTTTATTAAACGTTGCGATTTCTCTTTAGTGATGAAATATATGAATAAATTATTTTCCTTTCCAATCAGTTTTACTAATTATTTTAGATGACTTTGAAATTTTTAAAAAGTAAAAACAAAATTAACCAAACCGAATTTTATATTGCACAAATTTGAAAATATGCGTTTTTGTTGATCGACTAATAAACAACTTATTAAATAGTTTGAGAAAAAATGTTGTTTTTGGTTGAGTAATTGAAAAGCAACTGAATCAATTAGAGTGTATTTTTTGGTTTCTCAGTCACTGCAGTTTTAGTGTTTTTAGTGCAATTACTAGTGACGTACTTGATTTTTTGAAAAAAAATGTAAAGTATTTGTTTCTGTTTTACTTTTCCTTACCAAAACTAATTGTACCGAATAAAGTTATTTTAAGTATATATTTAAAATACCGAGACTCCTTTCAAAATTAACGTAATCGCGTTCCAACCACGTAAAAGGGTTGACGGAGGGTGAATAGAAATATTGAAAGCCTGTAAACGCCATTAGTTTTAGTCTGAACGGGGATGCTTAATCTGATACATTACAAATATAACGTCGAAACCTACCGGCGCTTAGATTTATTTTCATGGTAACACAAACAATTTGTCATTATTGCGGACTTTATTCAACTTCAATTTTTTATATCTATTCATAAATTTTAGGGGTATTTTTTTATAGACTGAAAATAAAATAAACACTAAACCATTTTATATCATTGTAATTATAATTAAATAATCTATCAAAATCAGTTCAAAAAAGTATACGTTGCAATTTAAAAAAACATAAGTTTATATCGCTACGACGACGCCATATATGTTATACTTACAATGTACTAAATACAGCTTCCCTCTTAATGCTAAATACAGTCGCGTTTACAGAATTTCAATATCTCTATCCGTTTTCAAAATATAAGGCCGGAAACTTTTATCCGGACAGCCCGTATAATTAAAAATATGGTCGGAAAGAGAAAAGAAAGACTATATGTTCTTAATATATTTAAATTCCAATATAACTGAATGATTACATGAATATTAAATATAGAGTAATTATGCAAATATATAGTTTTTACAAATTGGTAGATTTAAATACCTTCGCCAAAAAAGTTCATTGATAATTACATTTTTTAAATTAGTAATTTGCACGTTCATTATCCAATCATGTTCAGAGCTAAACTGACCCAGATTTTAAAATCGACCAGAATAATAATGTTGAAGAAGTCTTTACCGCGTTGTTTTTTTTTTTTTTGAAAAATAGACAAAGCTTTTTTTTCTGTTCATATTTGAAGGAGCTCAAAAAAATCCTTCAAAAGCTTTTTCTTCGATTTTAAATCACAAATGTTAAAAAAAATTAACAAATTAATGACAAATGTATTTCCCCCATCTTACCCAACAATGTGACACTATCAACATTCTCTTAGACATTCTCCAAAATTTCCTTACAGAATTTCCTTTAGCTGTCGTTTTCGAAGCAAAAATTTCTTTGCAAATATACGGTTCCTATGAAATACCAGCGCTAATCCCTCTTCTGTATTATTGCAGAAAGTCTAGCTCAAAACGACCAGAAAGTAAACAACCAGAAAGTGACCACAAGTTCAACCCCGACCCAGAACATCCCAACGGAGCGTGAAAGAGTTTCTGAACGCGTCGAAAGGATGGAAAGAGAACGTGTAGAAAGCCCACCACCAGCATATGGACAACAAACTGTCCGAGAACCGCCACCTCCGCCCGAAAATAAACCCTGGGGCTATTCCGGAATCGACCTCATGAATACTGGAGCCGCCTTCTGGCAGAATTACTCCGGTGAGTTGCAGTTTTAATAATAAAAGTGTTTGTGCCCGCTATTAACATTTATTGCGCCATCTCCAAGTTACAACCCGAAGAAACACCGGATGAAGTCAAGCATACGCCACCAAATAACTTGCACCTTGCCGCTCTATGCTTTATCACTATACACATACATTTTTCCAAGTTATTCCACCTAGAAAATAGCACAAGGAACAGTAGTTTGTTTCAAGAAGTATCTTGACGTAGCTTCACTTACTTTTGTATATCGTCAGACTGCCGATAAAACTCGCTAGTATTAACAAGAAAAACTTCCTTTTTTCGCACTTGTGCAAAAATACGCTTTTTCATCATGCACATTTTAATACTGCAATATTTCTTATTCTATCATTTAGAAATCGAAATTTTATATAATTCTGATTTCACTGTGCTTGAATAAATGAGTAGTTGGTGTAACTCGAAAGCGTTATTTAGATGTTTTTTTCCTCGCTTCCCATATAAGTCTTTATAATTAAATTATTAAAACGTGGGATTACCGAAATGAGTTCGGAGCCGCGTATGTTGTAGCGTGAAAACGAATCATTTGTGATTTTTAATAGAAGTTGCTACAAAAGCAAACAATGAACTAGTAGTACCGCTTTTAAAAATCGAGGGCACAATCGAAGTACCGATTCATTCTTACATATAATTTCGAAATTAAACGCCTGTTACGCACAATGCCAGGTAATATTCAGTAGCTGAGATGGAATTAAAGACGAAATAAACATTAAATAGTTGAAAGGATTCAATTTACAAGTTGCTCTCCAACAATCAGGATAACTTCCCAGAAAATGAGCCTTTCGATTAGATACGCTTTGAATGGCATGCCGAATGTTGTGGTTGTATGCATGGGACGTTCACATTATCGGTAACGTCGCCGGAAACCACCCAACAGCTGTCTAACGTTACACTTACGTATGTTCTCACCTGTTCTTTTAGATTATTTTTCGTATTGATTTCTTTATAAAATGCGTTCGAGCAGATATAATAGTATAGGCTTTGTTAATTCTAAGAATACAAAAAGGATTGGAATGAAAAAGGTATCTGTGCCTATAACTTCTCGATTATTTTGTTAAAAAATAAGACATAATAATAGGCTTTAGTAATTTTAAGAATACAAAAAGGATTAGAATGAAAAAGTATATTTGCTATTAATATCTCCAATTTTGTTTTTTTGTTAAAAAATTAAGAGCAAAATAATAATTTCTATCGATATTTTTAATAATTATTTAGGTTACAAATGAAATAGCAGTATTATTACGCACGACTGTGAAGTTCGCTAACAAGGCGGCGGTCGAGTTGTGTAATCATACGAGTATGTTAATAATGCGTCAACCTATATGTGAATAAAAAAAATTGTCTGCTCTAGATATTTTAAAATAATTTAACATCAAGAATCAAGAACATTAAAAATCAGGTATAAATTTCCGGTATATATATGAAATCTTTCTGGTGTATGTGATGGCAACTCTAATATTTTTAGAAGTAATATTTCATAGAATAAAGATGTGTAGTCTTACAAAATAATATTAAGGTAATTTTAGTTTCATCATATTTATTTTGATTTATTTTTTAAAAATTATTCCTATTAAATATATACGAGAAAACGGAATTGAGTACCTACATTACATTAATATATTTCCCTAATAGCAAATACTTTTCCCATTACATATTTACAGCAAAGTAATGAAGAGATAAAGTATTATTATGATAATCAGCAATTAAAATAGGCGTGGATAAAATTCAACAATTATTCTTCAGTAATACAAATTTATACGACTTATACACATCGAAAATATAAAGCGAATAATTCTGGTTCAAGTACTCATTAATCGACTGTGGATTTGATTATATTCATATTCTGGTCCCTATTTAAACCGCGATTCGTTCTTCTAGAGAATTCGCGAACGGCACCTTCGAAGTTGTTCTGGGGTCCGCCATCTACCTAGACTTCCGGTACCGCATCCGTGCTTTTCTCTATTCGAGCATCGCCGTACATACTAGAAAACCCATAAGCGTCGTATCGGGGCGACGTATGGGTTTACTTCGTACCAGTATTCTCGATTATTCAAACTCGCTTGTGTCTTGTGTGTCAAAAACAGTTCACCATCCAAGAAAAATAAATTAATTGCACCCAGTCACCAGTGCAAAGTATACCATTGTCTTTTAGTGGTACAATCCGAAACCATTAACCAACCTATTCGCAAAAAAATATTTACTGCTTAGCAGTTCAGTTATTATAAAGTTACTAGCGAGAATTTAAGGTTTAGCCAAAATCATTCTCTCTTGTTTATGCTAGTACTTTTCTATTTCTTAAAGATTGATCTTCAGATCGTCCTCGGTATGTAACTTTTAAGTGTTTCAAATTTCAGAGAATGCTACTTCAAATAATGCTGCTTTGTTAAAATCATATTTTACAGTCTCACAACAGATTACAAATATTACCAAAACTACCTAAACAAAAAATTTTGGATTCGGAAAGGCGACAGTTTGGACACAAAATTGTTGTTATAGGTTTTCGTATCCCTTTCTAATGCTTTTTAGTTTTATTGTTTCAGATTTCTTTTTACTTCTCGGGCGTAAGCTAAGGTATCAGGAATATCATGTGGATGATATAAAATTGATCATGTTATCTCAAAATTTTGCCGAATAAATCCTATCTAAATACTCCTGATTTATCATTTCATTCATACTTTCAAAAATTAATCAAAGTGTGAATTTATTTTATTGATTAAATCAGAAACTACAAAATCGAATGCTTTGAAATCTCGCAGACGTTTTAAATTTATCGTAGGCATGGTAAATTTTTAATCAAAATATATTTGTTTATACACCCCAAAAAACTGATGACTCATCTCACAGTTTTGCCGGATAAATTCATTGGCTTCATATATTTTAGAATTGTTAGTGCAGGGTGACTAAAAAAAATTAATGAATGAGTCAATTTATTTTATTGATTAAGTATATCAAGAACGGTTCATTCCATTTTCCCGAAAATTTGGGAATAGAGTATTAGAATTCTTTCTTAAAGTCTTCTTTGCTTCAATTTGGACAGTCAGGATGAAACGTCTCATGTTTTGTAATGCTTTCTAATGCTGAAAGGTCCAATTCCTACGATTTTTGCCTATTTTACTCTATTTTTCTTTTTCCGTTGCGTCAAAATTGGCTTTTCCATGGCCTGAAACAAAAATGCGAATTTTAAAAACAGATTTCACTCATATACTTCGTTTCTTAAACCTATAAACTTATTTTATAACAATCAAATTCGACTTCGTCGGCCTCTCTGTGATATTCTCACTCCACACTTAACTTCAAATAAGTTGGCCTATGCATTTTTTTCAATAATTGTTCTGATTGCCCTTCTATTTTTTCAGTTATTTTTTTCTTCGAGACTTCTTGGCAAATGAACCTGTAATTTTGTATCATCCAACCATATTTCTTGCACTATATCGCGATAATTTTATAATTAATTTTTAAGGGTGTGGAAATATGCACTCAACGCAAAGTACATATTTCACAATTAACCCGACATTTTTCATATGTGTTAAACAATTTTGAATCAATGTATGTTTAGCAAAAAAACTTATATTATTGTTAACCTAAAATTTTCTTATGATTTTTAACGCATCATCTTCGATTACACATTTTATTCGAATTGAAAATATAATTTAGTAGTAGTTTGTGTATATTATGTTGCATGATTTTCCGAGTTTTATTTCTCAGAACTAAACAATCTCACAATAATGAACGGATTTTTTGTTAATCGCACAAATAAAAAATAGCTTCTACCTACAAAATGCATTTTTAACAACCGTTTTCGGGTCATTTTTCCATAGAGTAAACGTACTGAAATAAATATAGTTTAATTAATCAGAAAAAAATGCCATAATTTTGAGCGTTTTTGATTTTATTGCTAAAATTTAATTTCTAAAAAGGGACAGTATAGTATTTTTTATTGAATATTATTACTAAAGAGCAGACTGGTCCGTTTAAAAACTGTGGGAGTCAGAACATGCAGTCACACGAACAGTGCGATACGGTATCGATCAATTAGTTGCCCGACTATATTGCATTCAGATTCAATAATATATAATAATAATTCAGTTGTGATAGGCGTCGAGTACCTACTGCACACTTCGAGCAAATACTCGACCTTGAATAGAGTTCGAACAAAAATGTGCACACCTATGAATTAACACAGCCTGGCCGCTCTCTATTTATTACAAATCCCTGTTAATTAACTTGAAGACGAACAAAAGCATTTAGTAATATATATTTTTTGATGGCATCCTAAAAACTATAATTTCAATATTGCGAAAATTCAATTTTCCAGCTATTTTCATTCGTTCTTGGACATATTTGATGACTGGTTGTTGGAGAAAAAAAAATGTTTGTTCAGTGTAGTCCGCTTCAAGATGACCTAATCAGTGTTAGATATCAGCAAGATATTTTGGAGAAATTTATCCCAGAACTTCACGAAAATGAAATGGAAGCAGGTTATTTTCGACAAAACGAGGCCACAGTAGCAATGTTACGGGAGTTTTTTGACAACCGGATCAGTAATCGAAATACAAAGAATATTGGGCCCTTACTCCTGCAGACTTTTTATGTGACCCTGTTTAAAACTCTTTTTAAAAATTGTTCGACATTTTTTTTTATTGTATTGGTCATTTTAAATAGTTATTAAGATGTTTAATCATCGACATGCTAAATCCTTCCAAAGGTGACTCAATTACAAATAATGTTGCTCGTGCGATGCATATACGATGTCCTGTATTCTACACTTACTTCGTCCCCAAGAGTGATTTGTGTTCAGATGAGTTAGTTAATCACTTACATTACCACACTAAATACAATAATTAGCAGACTTTTTTCAATATATAAACTGCTTTTTAACAAGTTTTGAAGTCCTAGATAAAATTTTATGGGACGTTACGTATGAAGTAACACATTATTATCACATTCGTGTAACTATATAA